TTTTTTTTAGACAGAGTCTTGTTCTGTCACCCAGGTTGGAGTGCAGTGGCACAGCTCACTGCAACCTTCACCTCCTGGGTTCAAGTGATTCTCCTGCCTCAGCTTCCTGAGTAGCTGGGATTACAGGTGTGTGCCACCATGCCTGGCTAACTGTATTTTTAGTAGAGACAGGGTTTCACCATGTTGGCCAGGCTGGTCTTGAATTCCTGACCTCAAGTGATCCACGGGCCTCAGCTTCCCAAAGTGCTGGGATTATAAGAATGAGCCACCATGCCCAAGCCTTCTATGTTAAAATGTTGAAGGTATCTTCAAAAATATTTTTCCAAAGAGAATAAAAATACACACACACACACACACACACACACACACACACACACACACACGATAGATTGCACAGAAATGCAAATTCCCGAGATGCCACCTACCCAAAGCTGTAACGTCTTGTTATTTTGGATGATGTTTATTCCATGAGGCAAGCATAACCTCCAGATTGAGAAGTGGTCAAGCAATTTCAGTATCTAGAGCACCACTTTCTATATACTCCGGAAAGGTCCCAAGACAGAAGATGAAGTCCCCTTTACTCAGGTCTTTAGTAGAGCCCATCTGCTCCACTTGGATCTGCTGTCTTCTTACCTAAAGTCAGAAGTTCAGCTAAGGTGACGTCTCAGTGTCCATTTCAGTCTTGTTCTGTGGAAACCCTAGAGTTTTGTTTCATCTGAAACGCTGGCCCCTAAGTTAACACTCCTTTAGGCTGTGGGCTACAGAAACAACCTACTCTGTTGCAGATGCTCCTTGTGGCAACATAACCAAGAGAAAGAAATCTGACTGCAGAGACTAGAAATCACAACACTTCCAGGTGTAAAATCCTCCACGATCTTCCCTGCACGTGGAATAAAATCCAAGCATCCTACCATGGCCCACAGGTCCTGCATCATCTGGAGCTTGCCTACTGTAGACATTTTTCCCTTTTTCACTTATCATCCAGCCACACTGGCTTTCTCTCTTTTCCTAGAACAAGGCAAGTTATTTCAAGTCCTTGACCTTTTCTCTGATGGACTCTGCAGGTAAAATGCCCTCTGATAGATCTCTGCATGGCTCACTGGCTCTACTGCATAGGGCTCAGCTTGATGTCACCACCCAGGGGCTTTCCCTGCCAAGTTCCTATAAAGTGGTCTTCCCTCAACCCAGTCACCCTCCTCACAGAGAGCTGATTTTTCTTCATAGCACTATTATCGTCTGAAATTATTTATTGATTTGTTGGTTTGTTATGACTGGTCTCATCCTCTATTAACCAAACTCCATAAAAGCGGGAAGTTTGCTTCATTCATTTCTGTGTCCCTGGCCTTTAGACGGGTGCCTGGCACAAAAGAAAACAAAGCAAAACAAATGTGTTAAATGAATGAATGTGTTAAATGTCTTAAATGAATCAGGGTTCAAATTCTACCTCTGAAAACTAATGGCCGAATAATTCAAAGCAAGTTATCTAGCTTCTTTTTTAAAGAATCTCCCAATACTCATCTTTGTAAAACAGAAAAAACAAAACTATCTACCTCACAACCTATCTCTTAGAGGCACTGTGAGAATTAAATGAGACAGCGTATATGAAATTCTTGGGACAACATCTGCCAATAGCAAGTTCTCTGCAGGCCCTACTAATGTCCTTAGTGAGTTGCTATTGTGACGTTGCCCCGCCCTGATTCTTCCCAGGTGAGCCGGTGCTCTTGTCTTCTCTCCCTTGACTGCAGCCAACGCCTGTCTCTGTTCTTGCCCCTAGATCTGGAGCCTGTAATTAACTTCCAGGGCTGTTGTCATGGAAGGTTTTTCTTTCCCATAGAAGAATTCGAAGTGAGGGGCCATTTGTCATGCTTCAGTGGAACAACTATAATTACCTTGGCCTTAAAAATATGTTTCACAAACCACCAAAGCACACTGTTAGGAGGCCTTGGTCAAGCATCAGAGCACAAAATAGTTTTAATATGTTGAAACCAATCTTTAGTGCCTCCAACTCTGCCCCACCAACACGCACACTATTTGCCCTAATTTCAAACCATACTTTTCAAAGATCAACTTGGGTCTTGCCTAGCCTGACACTTAAAAAAAAAAGAATAGGTTTTGAAGGTCATTTAGTTCACTTTGTCATTTGGCAAATGGGGAAAATGAAATGCAGAATGATTAAGTGGTTTCCTCAAGGTTATAAAACAAGTTAGAGGCAGAGGTGAGAGCCTTGTCTTCTAGGCCTCTGACACATCATCCATCCTTGCCAGGCAGTCCCCCCTAATTTACATATGCTGAAATCAAGAGAACAAAATTACTATGTATTATATATGTTACTTCAAGAACATATATTATATATGTTACTTCAAGAACATATTTGTGAAGCTTAAAAGAAGAAATAAAGAAAGAAAATTAGTAGTGTGAAAAATCGTCATTAAGCCAAATGGTGGGACCATATTTCATCTGTGCACACACCCCTATTGCATAAAGTCCAGGAGATACAAGGTACTGGAAATACGGACAAGATAAAGAATAATGCCTTTTGAAAATGTATTATTTTGTTAAACATTCTGAAGAAAAAAAGAAAGGGAAGGAAATAGAATAAGAAGCCCCATATTAAAAAAAAAAAAAAAAATATATATATATATATATATATATATATACTGAACTCAGAAGACTGTTATACATTTTTAGGAAGGAACAATGAATTATAAAGATCAAAGAGGCTTAGAAAGCATATTGATTAAAAACTTTGACTAATATGTACCTAACCTTTAAAAAATGTGTCAGCCTTTTGACTCAGCAATTCTATTCACGGGAATCTAGCCTAACATAGTAATTGAATGCATGTACAAAGATATACGTGAACAAGATGTTCTTCGCTGTGCTGTGCATAAGAGTAAACCCACTGAAGCACAGAAAGAAGAGAGTGGTTAAATAATCATCACACATTTATTCACGAAAATGAGAGTCTGGGTTACAGCTTTGTGATTGAGAGCATAGCCTCTGGAACTGTATTGTTTAGGTTTAAAACACAGCTCTGTCACTTACTTATAGCTGTGTGACCTTAAGCAAGTTGTCTTATCTGTCTGTGCCCCAGTTTTTAAAATCTATATAATGAGAGTACTAACATCACCAAACAGGCTGGGCACGGTGGCTCATGCCTGTAATCCCAGCACTTTGGGAGGTCGAGGTGGTCGAGGTAGGTGGATCAGTTCAAGACCAGCCTCGCCAAGATGGTGAAAGCCTGTCTCTACTAAAAATACAAAAACAGCCTGGCATGGTGGCGGGCGCCTATAATTCCAGCTACTCAGGAGGCTGAGGCAGAGAACTGCTTGATCCCGGGAGGTGGAAGTTGCAGGGAACTGAGATTGCGCCATTGTACTGCAGGCTGGGTGACAGAGCAAGACTCCATCTCAAAAAAAAAAAAAAAACCACTTGGGTGTCTTTACAGACCTATGATGAGCTAAAATACATCTCTTCAGCAGATGCTGAATACAGCAAAACTTGCTCTTAGAGCAGAGTGTCATTAGCTGGATATGGAGTGACCAGGGCTTAGTCTTTGATAAATCAAACATCTCAACTTTCCCCCCAATACTTAAAACAGTTCCCTTTATGTTACAGACTTTGTTTCCTAAAGTGCTTTTTCTAAAAAAAAAAAAAAAAAAGGAGTTCGAGACCAGTCTGGTTAACATGGTGAAACTCTGTCTTTACTAATAATTCAAAAACTTAGCCGAACGTGGTGGCACATGCCTGCAATCCCAGCTACTCTGGAGGCTGACACAGGAGAATCACTTGAACCCAGAAGGCGGAAGTTGTGAGCAGAGATCACACCATTGCACTCCAGCCTGGGTGACAGAGCAAGACTCCATCTCAAATAATAATAATATCATCAAACATACAGCATTGTCATGAGCACTGGATGGGTTAATATTTATAATGCTTAGTCTGCAAACAAAAAAAATCACACATATGTTTTGTAAGATCAATTATGAGAAAAAATAAAA